GTCCTGCGCTGCAGCGGGAGCCTGACCAGGGACAACTTCTCAGGGTGGGTGGCCCTCCTGCCCCTGAGGGGGTCAGRCCCAGCCTCCATTGGCAAGTCCTGGGGTCTCCTCATCCTGACAGGGACCTGGGTCTCCTGAGGGCATGAGCACCAGGTCCTCCTGGGCCAGGTTGAACTTGGGACTGAGTCATGGCACCTCTCAGTCATGGACTGAGACATGTCTCCCTGCTCCTCTGTGTGCAGGTGCAGGTGCAGACTGTGGGCAGGGTTGAGGGTACGGGAAGACAGATTGAGCAAGTGTTCTTTTCTTCTTTTTTTAAAGTGTTTTCATTGGGATAATTCTTGAGTGCTTCTAAGACTCAGGGGCTTTGCGGCAGATGCCAGAGAGGGCATCCAGGCAGGCCAGGGTTATCAATAATGCAGGTGGTCTGTCTGGGGCGAGGCAGCGTGCTGGGATGTCCGGCAGTCTGACAGACACAGCGCACAGGGCTGCCCTGCTGGCCTGCGGCAAGTCTTCTGAGACGGGGTTTGTTTAGCTGGTTTTAGATTCCCATTAGTGTGGGCAGAGCATGTGAGTGCTCTCATCAAATGCAAATTTTAAATTATTCATAAATAGACGAGGATAGTTCTCTGTGCCTGAGATGCTTTGGGGGATGGGGAGTATTTGTCATTTTGAAGGCTGGCAAAGAGAGTGTGTCACCCCGTTCTCATCAGCTTGGGTTACTGGGCAGGGAGCCTGTGGCTGCGAGCTGTACACACAGACGGGGTTCAGGAATCTGGACCCAGGGTACGCTGACAGACAGAGGCCCTGTTCCCAGAGCTTCCCGTGAAGCACAGAAACGTGTGCTGTGGCTTTGTCTGAGGAAAGCAAGAACATTTCATTAAAATAGCGTCATAGTTGTCACATGCAGTGCTCCAAAGGTTGCCTTGGTGAAGTGGAGGCCCAGCGGCTTAGTCCCGGGGGGTGGCAGCACCTGCAGGTTCTAAAACGTGGATCTAGCGATTGAGTGATCTTCCTAACAGACTCTCAGCGGACATGCAGGACTACGGTCTAATCATTGATGGCGCGGCGCTGTCGTTGATCATGAAGCCCCGAGAGGACGGCAGTTCCAGCAAC